CCCAGTCCCAGCTACGGCCCCCCCGCACACACCAACTGTCCCCGCACAGTCCCAGCTACGGCCCCCCCGCACACACCAACTGCCTCACGCAGCCCCAGCTAGGCCCCCCCCCGCACACACCAACTCCCCCCCACAGTCCCAGCTACGGCCCCCCGCACACACCAACTGCCTCACGCAGCTCCCCGCCCAGTGCCAGGGGGACTTTCCCCTCCATCCCCCCCACCCTCACTCACCCTTTTTGCGGATACAGACTAACTCGGCTGCTACTCTGAAACCTCTGAAAGCAGCTCCCCGAAGGGCGCCCGGTGACTCTCTGTTTAATGAGCTGCCTAGAGAATCCCATCAAACTCTCCCACTTTTCTCACCTATTTAGTATCAATATAAAATCCCTTCAGATCTTGGTGGTTTTCTGTCATATTAAATATTTTTGATCTATTTCCTCCCCAATTCTCAAAGATAGATATAAAATATCCAGTGTGCATTCCTGTAGTAGCCATGGTGGTCCCAGGATATTACAGGGTGCCCCTTTGATTTATATACAAATGTTTGATGTTATTCTCCAAACCGTTCCTTATGAATCCTTACATGTTAGCTTTTTTGAGCAGTGGCTGTGCATTGAGTGGAGGTTTTTAATGAAGCTGTCTACAGCAACATGCAGGTCACTTGAGTTGATAGTTAATTTACAACCCAGTGAGTAAGGTATATGAGGAGCTCCAATTTCCCCCTCCAATGTGCAGTGCTTTGCATTTAGAGAGAGGGTAGGTTAGGTAATGCCTTTTACAAGACCAGCTTCTGTGGGTGAGAGAGCCAAGCTTCTAAGCTATGCAGAGCTCTTCAGGAGAATATCCTAAACCATTCTAAAATTTTGCCCTCCTTTTTCTCTAGTTATCTTTTACTAATTTAATATTCCCTGAGATTTTCCCCGTCTCTCTAATTATAAATATTAACATAAAATCCCCTCAGATTTTGACTTTTTCTCAAATTCTTGAATAGTGATAGCAAATCCTTGCAGATGTTGCCCCTTTTTGAATAACAATATGAAATTCACTCAGATTTTACCTCTGTGCCTACTATTGACTGTTGATATATAATCCCTCACAATTTTACACTTTCCTCTCTAGTTTATGAAAGTTGATTCAAAATTCTTCAGATTTTTCTCTCTTTAATGACTGAACATTGATATCAGATGCCAGATTTTTGCCTTTTTCCAGGCGCGTGTAGATCACCGTGGGCATTTCACTGACATCAACGTGGGGTGGTCTGAGAAGGTGCATGACGCACGCATCTTCAGGAACATGGGCCTGTACAGAAAGATACAAGCAGGGACTTTCTTTCCAAATCAGAAGATTACAGTGGGGGGATGTTGAAATGCCCATAGTGATCCTGGGAGACCCTGAGTACCCCTTACAGCCGTGGCTCATGAAACCTTGCACAGGACACCTGGACGGCAGTAAGGAGTGGTTCAACAATACAATGCTGAGTAGGTGCCGGATGACAGTTGAATGTGCCTTTGGTGATGCCTTTATGGCTGGTTAGACCTTAATGAGGATAATAGTCCCATGGTCATAGCCGCGTGCTGTATGTTGCATAATCTCTGTGATGCTAAGGGTGAAAGGTTTGCTCAGGGGTGGAGTGCTGAGGCAGACAGCTTGCCTGCTGATTTTGAGCAGCCAGATACCAGGGCTATCAGAGGAGCCCAGAGGGGGCCAATTCGAATCAGGGAGGCTTTGAGGCAACACTTTGAAAATGAGAACCAGTAATGTATAATCTCTGTGATTAGTGCTGCAATGTTACATTACATGCAGTTTTCCTAGGAAGCAATGGTGACATTTGGGGCCTTACATTCCAGTAAGCAAATTATTAAAATGCCTGTGTATGTATTGGTAGTGCCTGCAATCTCAATTTGTAGGCAACAAATAAAGATGTTACCATTTGAAAACTTTGCTTTTATTGCACAAGAAACAGCACACTCAAGCGCACACAGATAATTGGTGGGAAAGGAGGAACCAGGGAAGGGCAGACTTTCACAGCTGTGTGTAGGTCCAGCTGTCATTGTGAAAGCTGTCCAAGGTGGTGGAGTGAATGGGAATGTGCAGGCGGAGTTTGGGGGTGAGGGGGGGTCATGGAAATGAGTCTAAATGTGCTGCAGAGGAGGGCGCGCGGATCTGCTCAGTCTGCAGCACTATTAACGACTCTGCAGCATCTGCATTTGCTCCTCCATTACTTTAATCATCCGCTCGGTTGCATCCTTAACAAACTCCTGATTCTCTTTTCTGTCCTGCCATTCGGCTTCCCAACCCTCCTGGCGCTCCCTTTTCTCTGCATTGGAGCAGTGCAGTACCTCCTGGAACATGTCTTCTTTGCTGTGCCTCGGGCGCTTTCTTACCTGGCAGAGACGCTCAACTGGGCTGTGTGGGGCGTTCCCCACATCTGCCAAAGCACAGGGGACAATGCACAGAAGCGGGATTGTTAAATTCACACACAACATTGAAACATTTCAGTTAAATACATCTTTTGCAACATTGCCATCACTTTCTCACTGACCCTTGCCAAGCACACATCTCTGCGAACACCCAAAGCATGATGAGTGGTGGTGGGGTGGTGGTGGTGGTGGGCTCCACCTAGGGAAAAGAGCGCACACACTTTGCAAGGGTCATGGTGCAGCATACTAGGGGAAAAGTTCTAAAATTCCCTCACACTTTTCCATAGGCGGGGCCATTCTAGCAGATATCTCACTGCGAAAGGTAAGCAGGGAAACAAGGGCACATCCACTCCACGCTTGTGGCTTCTGCCCTGCTCCCTATGCTGATCGCCTGTGTGCCACTTTGGTTCCTGCACAAGTGATTGCCGAATGGCGCGGGAAAGTATCCTACCATGGAGGGAGGAACAAAGCTGCTCTGCCACGGAACCATCCGCAGAGGATTGTCGAGTACCTCCAGGAACCTTTCCTGGAGCTCTCTCTGGCGGATTCCCATGAGATCTCGGCGTGAATCAACACCCTGTTCTGCCGTACTGATTAGCGACACAGGGAAACGTCCACCTCACAGAAACACAGCCAGCCTCCCACATTTCTATACCCTGAACCCACCTCCACACAACACAAGTCACAGCCACTTACCAGGCGTCTCATCTCCTGCTTCTTGCTCCCCGGACAGCGACTGCTGAGACTGGCTAGACACCTCTGGAGTGGAGAACAGTTCCTGGTTGCCTGCCCCACTGGGTAACTCCACCAGGAGCGGCACAACCTCATCTAACTCAACCTCTTCATCAATAACTTCATGCTCCAGGTTAGGGCCTCTTTCCGCTGCCTCCAGGCCCGCCAAAGCATCCGTGGTGGTGGTAGTGAGGTTGCCACCGACAATAGTGTCCAGCTCCTCATAGAACTGGCAAGTCTTAGGTGAAGCACTGGAGCAATGGTTTGCCTCCCTTGCCTTATAGTACGCCTGCCTCGGTTCCTTTATCTTCACTCTGCACTGCAGCGTGTCCCGATCATAGCCCTTTTCACACAAGTCTCGAGAAATCTGCCCGTAGGTATCCCAATTCCTACGGCTCGAGCACAGCTGGGACTGTACAGCCTCCTCTCCCCATATACTGATCAGATCCAACAGCTCTGCAGTGGTCCAAGTGGGCAAGCATTTGGTGCAAGAATTCACCATGGGATGAGACCTCTCCAGGCCTAGCCAGAAGGAAATGGAA